CCCGGGCAGCCGCCCGGCCAGGCGCCGGGGAGCAGGGGCAGCGCCCTCCTCCCTTCTCCTCGCTCCTGGGCAAAGGCACACTTTTCCCGTTCCTTTGTCCCGATGTAAATAGGGCAATTCGCAGAGGCGCCGATTGGCTCAAGCCAGGAGGAGAATGGGAGTCCGATCTGGTGGGCAGCTCCTGCCACCAGAATCTCCCCCCCCACATCAAACCATGACAATTTCTCCCCTCCCAAACCTTGTAGATTAATTCCTAAAATGGTGAGATGGACTCCAGAATATCCCTCCTGGCATCTCCATTAGGGAAAGGGGCTCCATCCAGCCTCTCATTAGGCCCCATGGCACCAGCTTGCACCGCAGGTCAAGAGCAGGGAAGTGAAACCAGTGCACACCACTGTGTCACAGCCTTTCCACAGGGTCCCTCAGGGATTTTCAGCTTTTCTCTTCTCTTCCCCTTCCCTGGCTCTATCGTCTCTCTCCTCCGATGCCAGCTCCCATCTCAGTCTCCTCTTTCCCAGCCTCTTGCTCTGGGCAGAAGGGGCTGCCTTACCGCAGGGGAGCAGCATTTGGCACCCACTTCTCCACGATGAATAGCTCACCCCTAGGGGCCTGCCGAGTGATGCTCCACAGCCAACTCCACGCCACGTAGTAGAGAAAGCTATGGCAACTCACTCACATCCCCTTTCCCAGGGTCAGGATTGCCAAGTAAATTCAGGCGCTTTATAGACAAACCAACAAACCTCAAAAAACCCAAGCATCAGAGATTCTTGCAGAAGCAAGATCAGTTGGAGATGGGAAAGCAGACCCGGGTGCCGGCACCAGAACAGGGTCACACACAGTTTTGCGGAGGTATATCTTCTGTTTCTTTCCTATGTGAGAGGGAATGTTGGTGCAATCATCTTAAATGGTGCCCACTTCTCCCCTTCTAGGAACTCTTCATTACCCATGCAGCAAAATGGGCTCGGGTATTTTTATTACAGCAATAACCTTTACCCTCAGAATCTCACTGCTTTTTTACCCAGGCAAGGATCCTACTGGCCAATTGTGAATGAAAAGATATCCCCACCTGCTTGCATAAAAAATAACAACATGCAAAAATGGCACTTGCACCTCTAAAAGCTCCTGGTAGCTGATCAGATTATTGAAACAGAATCTATTCAATTTCTTACATGATTTCCCACATCCCTCCTCCCTGACTTTTGCATTATTTTATGTAGCTCCTGAACTTTGCACACGAAAAGAAACTGGCTAGTTTTCTCCTTTCAAGCATTTATCACAGGCCCTGGAAGATGTGCTTGTTTGTTTAAAAAGAACTATCCTGGAGGACTGCTTGTCCAAGCCAGACCTCAATGCTTTCAGTTTTCGAGATAAAGCAGTGTGTTTGGACAGTAAGTACTGGAGAGTCTGACCTTAATTAATTAATTATTTTCTGAAGGAAAAAAATAAAAGTCTGCAGAACTGTCCTAGGATTAAATTGAAAAGACGACTTTCTGGGGGCTTTCGTTTTGCTACTTCTGCTGGTGCCGAAGAGGAGGACTACTACTGAAGAGACAGACAGTTCATCAGCAGTTTTACAGCACTATGTTTTCTCCCTCTTTCTGTTGGTTCATGTTTCTTGTTCTCAGGTCTGCTGGAGACCAAGGGGCACCCTGCTCGTGGTCGCAGCCTGTAGACAAAAGGGTTAGGAGGAAAGGAAATGTTGGCTCGCTCCTGGCTGCAAGCCCAGACACGCGGCTGCTGAGACAGAAGGGGCAAACATCAGCCTGGCAAGTGCAGACACTCTGAGAGCAGGTTATCACTCAAACGGTTCCCCTCCCTCGTTTCCCATTGGTAGCATGTTTCCTTCCGTTGGGAAATTGTGGAGATTTTATACTTTTGATAAGAAACCGGCTGAGGAACATGAAATGCAATCCCCCGTGCCACTTCCCTCTGGCAGCATCGGCTCCCAGCTGTGCCCAGCCCTCTCCTCTCTCGGCTGCATTACTCATAGCCAGTCTCATGCCCCACACCAGCCGAGGGGCAAAAAGAGACCATCCAATGCTAATTAACTCTACAGACTTCGCAAAACAGGACACTTGCTCATGCACTTCGGCAGTACTCTTTCCAAGCATGCCTCAAATTTCTTTTTCCAGGCTCTTGACACATCTTCTCTATGACTTTGTTGTCCAACTGGCCAAACTTCTCAAGCCAATTAGTCCGCTAATGCCCAGCAGAAGTGAGAGGCCACAGAGTGGTATAGATCCCAGATAACGTTCTCATTGCAAAGCTGATCTTGTGAGAAGGGTTTCTCCTGGAAGCTGCTGAATCCTAAGGACTTG